GACCAGCAGCAATGTTATAAATTTCGGCACAACTCATGTTTGGCTGTTATTTCACTTCGTAATAATTGTAATCCTTTTCCTAGATTTGAACTTTTCTGCTCATTCAATAATAATCTCGTAAAGTTTCTAGAATGTGATACCGTAAAGTTGGATTAATTTAGTACCATGCTATTTATAATTGACCATTCATGAAGAAATGATTTTCTCCCACATTCCTCTATCGTGAAAGAAGTTACTCAATTTGGTTCAGGGAATACATTGTCGATTTGATGGCCGACCCCGGCACACTCATTCCATCTGATGTAGCAGAAGATTCATCATCTCTTTCTACAAGCTCCATGCCTAAAGATGTTGTTACCCTTCCTTCATCTAGTACCACACTCGACAGAAGATCCCAATTTACGGAGAATATCGCTGCGGGAAAAAAATCAATGCATGGAGCTCCCAAGCACAAGCCCGATGGTTCAAAAAAGCCAAAGGACATGACGGAAATCTCCCCCAAGCCCGTTCATCCTTACGCACATGCTCGATCTCCTTCATGGACCGAAGGCATAAGCTCGCCAGCTGTCCGCAGGATGAAAGTGAAAGATGTTTCTCAATACATGATCGACGCTGCAAAAGAGAACCCAAACTTGGCCCAAAAGCTCCATGACGTCCTGCTCGAGAGCGGTGTTGTCGCTCCCCCTGACCTGTTCACCGAGGTGTACGCAAACAGTCCGCTCAACCCTTCTCAAGAACTCGAAGAGGAAAAAAAAGACAAACAAACGAGCGTGGGCCACAGAAACCCCGACCGAAACTTCCACCTCCCTCCACTGCCGCGCCCCAAGCATCAGGAGCCAGCCGAGCAAGATGTCCATTCGGATTCAGAGGCAGTGGGCCCCACAAAGTACCCTAGGAACGTCCCGGTGGCAGCAGCTGCTGCGGCTGCTGCAGCTGTGGTGGCTTCGTCTATGGTTGTTGCTGCCGCGAAGGCGAGTGGCGACACAGGGCTGCAGCTTCCGGTGGGGGCTGCGGCCACGGCCACAGCAGCGGCAGTGGTGGCCACGACTGCAGCTGTTACGAAGCAGTATGTTGAGGCACTTGAACCGGGCGGGGCTCATTTGGTGGAAGCGGGAGATGGGGATGCTGCTGACAATGCGGTTTGCGAGCAGGAGAGTGGTGGTCTGGGCGGGAATTTGGAAGGGGAGAGAGTGTCGGACAGGTCGACAGGGAACGAGAGTTCGAAATCCGATGCCACGCTTGATGATGTGGCGGATTGCGAGATTCCGTTGGAGGATATCACCTTGGGTGAGCGTATCGGGCTTGGTACTAATCTTTTAGCTTTACTATGGTTGTTTTCTGAGGAATCGTTGAGATTAGCTTGGACTGCATATGTTATGTTTTTATTTTTTTGTTGCAGGATCTTATGGTGAGGTGTACCATGGTGACTGGCATGGAACTGTGAGTTTCTCAAACTTGTGTCTGGGGTTTTGCCCAATTTCGTGTTGTGTAGCAATTGACATGATAAATGAATGTATTTTATAACCCCCAATTTTAAGTTACAGTGGAGATAACTTGCATGGTTTCAAAACTAAACCGTCGAAAGAGCTCTCTTAAGAGTTTACAATTTTAATTCTTTGTTATATAAAGATCTGTGGGTGCACATAACTTCATAAATATGGTTTGAGCAGTTCCTTCTGGGTTGGTTTCTTACAATGCAGTCCTTTTCACCTCCTCGATTCTGAATTTTTTCAGTGTGTTGTCTATTCCCATTCTATTGTAATTTGGGGTTGAAGACTCTTCAGTGTTTAAGAGTATGAATTGAAACTTGCTTTGCATATTTCTGTATACATTTCAGTGTACTGGCAACTTAGGGACCAAACTTAAAATGATATTGCATCCCATTGGCTCTGGAGGATTTATGTCTGCAAATAAGTGGACATTCTTCTTTTTACAGCATTTACCTAATCAGATAGTTCTAAATTGTAGAGTTGTCTGCATGACTGTTCTAAGTTTCGTCTCAGTTGATGTTCCTTAAATTTTAATAAACAATGTAAAGTTTTCTTGTGCATGACATTTACTTTGATATTTTATACTTTGATCATTCTTCAATCTCTGTACGTTCTTCATTTATTCTTTTATAGTTTTGTCCTTCCTCTTGGCATCTGGTTTGGACGGGAAGTACTAACCCTCAATTCCAACTTCTAGGAAGTTGCTGTAAAGAGGTTTCTTGACCAAGATATAACTGGTGAATCTCTCGAGGAATTCAAGAGTGAGGTAGACTTGATTATCTGCATGGCCTTACACTTTTTAGACATTGGAGCAAGATTTAACATGTTGTATGGTCCCCAATTAGCGAGTCTTCATTTTCACTAGGGACGTGGTTTGAATTTATGCTAAAAATCATATAAAAAAAATGATGGAGCCTGTAATGAGCCACTTTAAATATATCCATAGAACAATCTCAAACAACTCCTCTGCTCTCTCCCTCTCTCTCTCTCTCTAACTCTCTTTTTCCCTTTCTTTCATTTGAAATTTTTGGGTATCTTTGTTGAGTCATTCGTGGGAATGACCTGAACAAGTTTCTCGGTTTGTCTATGCTAGGTCCGGATCATGAAAAGAGTCAGGCATCCAAATGTTGTTCTTTTTATGGGAGCAGTTACTCGTCCTCCACATCTTTCAATTGTTACAGAATTCCTTCCTAGGTATGCTATAGTTATTCTGCTTTCCTCACATTAGAATTCACGTTTCATTATATCAAGTATGACTTCCATGTGTGGCTTGCTTATACTGCTTCTTAGTTTTGCACCAAGAAGTACCTGCCAATGTTAAACTTTACCTGTTAAACTGATTCCAACAAAAAATTGGCAGTTGAGTCTGATTTGACTTGTGGATAAAATTCAAAATGTGGAATTTTTTGAACAATCTATTTTGAGGGTAATTCATGATTGTAACTGGATTTTAATTTGACAGAGTCAAGGATTTACGTCATGAAATAAACATTATTTATGCGGAAACATGAGATTCTCCCTGAGAAATTATTTGCTGCCCAAGCTAAAAGCTCACAAACAATAATTCTCCAGTGCCTTCTTCAAAAAACTACGGCTCACTTAATTAGAATACTATTCCTAGCTAAGTAACCGCACTATTTTACGTTGAATAATTATGACAATGAAATACAGAAGCAGCAGATTAGTCTGTAGCATATCTTTGGACATTTTATAGTGGGTGAATAATTACTGTAGATCAACAATAACAAAGCAAAAGATGTCTAAGTAAACTGATAATTAAAATGATGGGACTTGTTGCATGTTATGTTTTTAGTAGTATACAAATGTGCGTTAGGAACATTAAAACCGTGTTCACTATGTTGAAAAGGTCATCTTTCATGGGTAATTAACTATAGCCTTTCCGGGGTCCAGGAGTCATGATTTTACAAATTTAGTATTCATTTACAATTTTGCCACCATATTTTTCCATCAAATGAGTTGCAGTTCGGGGATTTGTATTAATGTATTCTTTGCCTTCGCAGAGGCAGTTTGTACAGACTACTTCATCGCCCAAACAATCAACTTGACGAGCGTAGGCGTTTGAGAATGGCTCTTGATGCAGTATGCTACCTACTTTTCCTATTATTATTATTATTATTATTATTATAACTCGTTCACTTCTCATTGGGGTGAAGTTGCTGTGTTAATGAAATGCACTTACTATCAGGCTAGAGGAATGAATTATTTGCATAACTGCACCCCAGTGATTGTGCATCGAGATTTGAAGTCCCCAAATCTTCTTGTTGATAAGAACTGGGTTGTAAAGGTAAAATTCTTATAAAATAGAAATTATGATATTAGAACCTTGTATTAAATTGTAACCCACACCATTTGTTCTTTGTTATTAGGTATGTGATTTTGGATTATCAAGAATGAAGCACAACACATTTCTTTCTTCAAGATCGACTGCTGGGACGGTAAGATGAGCTTGTTTTCTTTTTCTTTTGTCTTCTCTTTTACACTAATTGTTGTCCTTATGCTGCGCGTGTGATTTTTTATTTCTAAATTCTCCCTGTAGTATTATTGTACCCCATTCTTTTGTATGTACCAGCTTATAAATTTGAAAATCCATCAAAGATTTATTTTTATTTGTCGTTTGTTTATGTATCGATGTGTTCACATAATTCAATGTTGGATCAGGTGCTCCTTTCTGTAGTCTTGTTCAAATTGCACCATCTCAAATTGTGTCAGTTTCCTTTGATAATTTACAAGATAGCTACACCGATGTTGCTTTTGTTACCCTCAGACCTTTGGAGATGTTTGATTGCCAACTTTCGCCTTCAAGAGAGGTTGTCTTCTGTAGTTTTTCTGTCCAACAATAGATTCAAGTTTAAAATGATTGTATTTCGTGGAAAAGGCTTGTGTCATTCTCAAATTTTTAGAGTGTGTCGGATTCCGATTCATTCTGAAAATATCAGAATGAATAGATATGAGATGGAAGTGCAATAATTAAATTTGTTTGATAAAAGATAGTTGAACAATGATTGGTAGTTAGATTCGCGAGTATCTGAATGGTGAAATTATGGAAAATGTGTAATAATGATTGGTAGTTAGATTCACGAGTATGATTTGGAGATCGACTTGGTAAGAGCTTGTCAGAGTTTATCCTGTGAGGCTTGATCAAATTATTGATCCAAACTCAAGTTTAATGATTCAGCTTATTAGCGAGCTTTTATATCTTATAATGTATAATCTTAATTCTAATTTATACGTTTATTGATAATAAATATAATAATATTAAGATTAGCATATTTGTTCTTCTATATCTTACGAACTTTAAAGGATATGCATTTCAGAAACATATAATTTCCCCTGCAATAAATGGAAAATAATTGAATTTATCATAGCATGAACAATGCTTGATAACCTCGTGAACTATCAAACTACTTGATAAATGCTTGTGCTCGACTCATTTACAAAAGAAAAGACACTCTCAAATGAGTTTCTGTTTTCAGGTTGAAATTCCTCTGCAACAGTTGTTATTCTGCAAGTGACGTTACTGCTATTGTTAGTATATATTATGCAAATATAGACTATAGTGTTTGATTGTATTTGATTAGAATAATTAGATTCTCAATTGTATGCATAAATAAGGCCTTTGTATCCATGGAAAATTCAGTTTCAACAGCTATAACTCCCTTGTATTTCTCTTCCTCAGGCAGAGTGGATGGCCCCGGAAGTGTTGAGAAACGAGCCATCCAATGAAAAGTATGTATACTAAACAGAAAATATATATATAAAAAAAAGTGTGTTTTGTGTTAAAATTTTTCGTTTAAATGCAGGTGCGATGTTTACAGCTTTGGGGTCATACTATGGGAGCTTTGTACTTTACGGCAGCCTTGGGGGGGTATGAACCCCATGCAAGTTGTTGGTGCTGTTGGTTTTCAACACCGTCGTCTTGAAATACCAGATGACGTGGATCCAGCTATTGCTGATATCATCATGAGATGCTGGCAAACGTGAGTTTTTTCAAATATTTGCGATTTTTTTTTCTGTCAGCTTTTTCTGCAACCTTTAGGTTTTTTATCTTGATTTTACAAATTACCTAACCTTGCAGTAAATTTCAATCATATGTCAGATAGTGTGAAGCATTTTTGACAGATAAAAAACCATTTTCTTGTAACTTGGGTTAAATCTGAAGGGTCGTTTGTTCAGTTATACCTAAATATGAAAACTCTATTTGTTCGGTGGAATATAGTAACGTAAGGACGGTATCTCGAATGCATGGCTGCCGAATTTTGTTTTATTTATACAAATTTTAAATTTTTTATGTTCTACTCGAGCTTACGGCTTTCCTCGTCTCTAAAACGTACCTTTGTGGTAAAAAATATGCAAAATGTTGGTGTTTTTAGTTACTGGTGAACGATAAATAAGTTACAATTTCTTGTGGATTAAAAATATAAACAGTTTTTTTT